GCCAGGCTGCTCTGTGATGCCCCTGGGACATGACTCCATCTGTGCGTTTACTTTCTGTCCTTCATCTCTCAGCTTCCTCCCTCGTGCAGGGTTCTCCAGCCAGCCCAGATGGCTGGAGGATGGCAGAGGCCAGGGGGCGCCGGCCCGGCCCCCTCCTGTCTCTCGCCGAGAGCTGTGTCAGTGGTCCGAGTCACAGTGGACACATCAGCAGTGTTCACTGAGCTTCCCAGGTGACCCTGAGAGGGCTTTAGTTTTTTCATGTAACTTTGTGCTTTTGAATAATTTATACTTAGAGAAATGTTCCAAGAACTAATGGTCCTTTACCAAAATTCTCCACTGTTTAATGTTTGTGGCACTTATTTCATCATCCCTTTTCTTTCTGCACGTATAGTTTTATGAACCATTTGAGAGCAGCAGATGTTTAGGCCCCCTTGCCTCTATTTCAGTGTGAATGACATGAGAACAGTGGCATTTTAAAATATAACCAGATTATAACTACCAAAATCAGAAAATGAAGCATTAATTGTAATGTTAAATTTAGTGTATGGTCTGTATTGAACTTTTCCAGTGAGCTTACTAGCGTGCTTTATAATGTTTTATGGTTTTCCTGGCTCAGGATGCAACCCAAGATCTAATTGCATTATCTTTGTTATTCTTCTACAGCCTTTTTTTTCTTGTTATTGTTTTTGGTGTTGGAGGTCAAACCCAGGTTAAGTATTTGTGCTAGCAGTGAGTTACACCCCCAGCCCATGAAGACATTGTTTGAAGCATGCAGACCATTTATTTTTTAAGCAGTCCCTCGGGTTGAGTTGGGTGGTGGTTCCTTGTAGCTAGATGGAGGTTGTGCTATTCTGACAGGAGTGTTTCAGGAGGATGCTCTGTCCTTCGCCGGGCTGACCCTCTCCTCCCCGCATCCAGGTGAAGTACTTTGTGGTGAGGAACCCGTCCTCTTTGCCGGTGTCCTTGCAGCTCCTGCCTCTCTCCTTGTACCCCAAGCCAGAAGCCGCAGGCCGCCTGCTGCACAAATGGTAGGAAGATGCTCTGACATGATGGGCAGTTGGGGAAAGGCGATCAAGACTCAGACATTGAAAAAGCCCCGTGCTTCTGTCTCCCAGCTTTGTGTGTGGATGTACACGGCACCAGCTCTTCAGCCATGCACATGAGCAGCCAGTCTGTTGGTGCTTGTTGCCTGTGGGAAGTTCCTGACTTTGTGTTGTGTGGCACGTTCGGTGTCACTGTCAGGTCCACTATCTGATGGATGTTCTTTTCTTTCTTTTCTTTCTTGTTCTTTTTTTTTTTTAGATAAAACAATTTATTTGTTTTATCTAACTTTTTGTTTTTATTAGTACACGTGTGCAGTGCATAATGTTACATTCCTCGTGGGGAGCTGAGGCATGTACATGACACATCTTAATCCTTTTTTTCATTCTCCCCTCCTCCCTCCCTCTCCCTCCCTTCTATCTCTTGGTCCCTTTCCCATGTGAGAAAGATCTACTTTCTATTATCTGTCTTTTAGTTTGCTCTTTAGTTATAATTTGGGTTTCTCATATATGAGAAACCATATGGCATTTAAGCTTCTGTGTCTGATTTATTTCACTTAAATTTATGGTCTCAGGAGTCGTCCATTTTTCTACACATGCCTCAAATTTATCCTTCTTCGTGGCAGAGCAGCACTCCATTGTATGTAAAACCACATTTTCTTTATACAGTCATCTGTTGGTGGACAGATAGGGTGCTTCTAAGACTTAGGTATTGAGAAATGTGCTGCTGTAAGCATGGGTATGCATGGATCTCTGTAATATGATGTCTTTAACTCTTTGGAAGATACCTAGAAGGGGAATGCCTGGGTCATGTTTTTCTTTACTGTCATAACTTTCATGTTTACTTCTGAGACAGAGTCTAAATCATGATGGAATGAGTTTGAAGCTGGCCACAGTGGCGCACATGTGTCATCCCAACTGCTTGGGGGTGAGGCAGCAGGGTGTCTTGTTCAAGGCTGCCTGACAACTTAGCAAGACCCTGTCTCAAAAAAGATGTAGTATTTTAGGGCATTTTTTATTTTACAGTCAAACTATAAGAGATGATAGCGTTCATTCATGTCTGTTATGATTATCTTCACATAATCACAGTAGTACTTAGAACATTGCCTCCTTTCGGTTTGGGAACATGTCTCCTTACCCGCGTTTTTCATCCTCAGCACTATTGGCACTGTGGGCAGGTGGTTCTGTGTGTGTGTGTGTGTGTGTGTGTGTGTGTGTGTGTAGCAGCTGTCTTGTATACTGAAGGATGTTCAGCAGCATCCCTGGTGCTACACTGCAGGGGCCAGTAGGATTTCCCCAGCCATAGTAACCAAAGACACCTTCAGACAGTACCGAGTGTTTCCTTTGCCTTTGATTTCCTTCTGTTTAACTTTCTATCTGTAAACCACTTAGAGAAAGAAAAATTGCTTCGTGTTTAGAGTCTGTTGTCAATATAAGTAGCTCTATATTCTGTGTTGCCAAAATCATTCACTGAATCCTCTTTTGAGCTCTTGCAATATGCCAGGTCTGGGTGGGCGTGGCATGGGCTGAGACAGGGTTGTGCTGGGGCTGGTGAATTTGTGTGTGTGCACAGGTAAATATGTAAGTGCACACATATTATGAATTCTTTCTTTATTGGTGGGTTTTAATGCTATTTTAAACCATTGGTTTTTGTCTTTGTAGGTTTGGCACCGATATGCAGATGATTAATTTCACAACGGGTGAATTCCAGCTCACCAAAGCTTGCCCTTATCGGGTAGGGTGTCCTCTTCAGACAGAAACAGAATGTTGGCAGACTAGCCATCAACGCAGCTGTGCCTCACGACTTGGTGTTTGAAGTGTCTTTATGTACTGTGTGTGTCTCTCTCGTTTTTGTTCTCTAGGCAGGAAGGATGGATGCAGAGCAGATTTTTCCAATTAACTAGTGCGGCAGGAGTCAGATTCATGTTAGCCTGTAAATCATTTTAATTTGATGATTTTAAATTCATGCAAATCAAGAAATAACAGTTGAGTCAGAGCTATGTAGAAAACCATGAAACTCAGGACCTCAGAATTTATAATTCTCTTGGGACTCCTTGGGCCCCCTAAATTCTTTTTTTAGGGCAGTATAAGGTAAAAATGAATACATGCACTTTTTAAAATTTAAGCTGTCTTCATGTTTTTAGCAAGTCATGCAGTGTCTGTCATATTCATCTCACCTATACAAAAGGATTTCTGTAACACTCTTAAGTCCCCAGGCAGACATGACACTTTTGCCTAAGTGTTTCTTAGGAGTAGGGGTGAAAATGGCACATGGTGAGGACACTGTTTGCTTGGGGGCTTGGAGCTTGATTTCTTAGTTTTCATCTAGTGACTCTGGATAGCAGAGTGTTGGCCTCGCAGGTACTGTGCTTTTGAGATCAGTTCAGACATGGAACATCTAGTCAGGCACGGTGCCTCATGCTGTGATCCCAGCTGTTCAGTGCCTGAGGCAGGAGCACTGCAGGCTGGAGGCCAGCCTGGGCAACTCATGAGACCCTGTCTCAACATTAAAGGGGGGCGGGGGTTGGGCATATAGCTCAGTGGGAGAGGGCATACCTCGCATGCTCAGGCCCTGGGTTTGAGCCCTAGTTAACCCCCCCCCCCCGCCCAGTAGAACATCTACTGAAAAGAGAATCCGTGCACACACACATGTTTAAATGCATTTTTTATTTTCCTTTCTGAGCCCTGTCCCTTCAGAAATACACTCTTGACCTAGCTTACTTAGACAGCCCGAGACTATGGATAACCTCTAGCTAAGAGTTGAAACAAAATGAATCAAAGCAAGTTTTTAAGTGGGCTTTCTCTAGAGACTTAGTCACACTAGCAAACACACGGCAGCACACTGCCTTTCTCTGAAGTGGCCTCAGCCCCAGCATGGGCAGAGCCTGCACCACAGTGGTCTCGCCCACCTCCGGGAGCCTTCTCCAGTCCCCTCGTCCTCCTCTTCACAGACAGTGTCCAGTGCTGTTAGCGATAATTAGTCTGTGATACCACAGTAGGAGATGATTTTCCATACTGGTTTGAAATTGAAGAAATAATGCCAGTTTCTTTTATATCTGAATATGCTGTTCAGATTGAAGAAATGGTGCAGCTCATTTGGAAAAAGTATAACTGTGACTGCAGATTTTCCCCAGAATATTACATCTTTATGATAGAGGAAATGATCACTATTGTTAATTTACTGCACAAACAAAAAGAACAGCATCAGTGCCTTGAAGAAACTCAAAATATAACTCAAATTGTTTTTGAAGCTTTTTTTTTTATAAAGGACTCTTGCATTGTACTTTTGTTCTTAGAAATATGGCTCCTTTGGTTAAGAGTGTATGGAACTTGGTACTGAGGGTTGGAATCTTGGTTCTTCTATGCTCCACCAATGTGACTTCCTTGGGCGGATTAATTTCTTGGAGCCTCATCTTTCACACTCACAATAATGTGTGACAGTTCAGTAAGGGTTAGAAAATGGATGACTTGGTATTTTGTATGCCTGAAATAACCCAGTGCCAAGCATATCATGACCACTGAGCAAATGGTGCTGTTACTATTATAAATGTAATATCAAAGTCCGCAGCTTGTTTGTTCAGTGTTTATATTATGTATATAAAGCAGGGTTTTCTTTTGCATGGAGTTTGTAATTCTGATGAAGATGAATCACACACCATCATCATTTATTCATTCACTCTTTCCTGTTTTTCTTTTGGCAGTATAGGGGGTTGAACCCATACTGCTTATGTGCTAGGCAAGCACTGTACCACTGAGCTGTATTCCCAGCCCCATCACCATTTATTCTTTCAGAAAGAATGGGAAGTGAGAGCTGTACTTAAAGGATTAAACAAATTTAAAAGTTGGAAACATAGGAATGAGAAATATCATTGTACAGATTGTATCTTAACTCTTAAAAATATTTTAGTGAGGAGCTAGCAAAAGTAGTGGAAAGATAAAGAATGAATCTTGACTGTTAAATTTAGAGCAGAATGCTTTACTCAGAAATGCTTTTGGAGAAAAGGAAGAAGCGCATGAATAAAAGCACATTTCCCAGGCTGATTGGAGAGACTACAAGTGAAAATATGGTTTCCATATAAGTTTAAATTGAATATTAAAGTGATCTTGGGGTGGTCCAACAGTGAATGGGTGGTCTCATCTGATTGCTGTGGGATTTGAGCAGACTTCCTGGTCTCTTTTCTGGTTAATGGTTTTACATTCAAGGCATCTTTGTATAGAAGGCTTTACGTCCCAGTTTCTTCCAAGCCAGGAAGCAAATTCCTTTCCAGCTTTCATGTCAGGTTGTCCTGCAGCCGCTCCCTATATGTCTCAGCTGCAACTTGGGAACTGTTTATTGGCGTGAACTCATCAGGATAAACAAATGCAGATAGGTTGATGAGGGCCTGGCAGTGTAGCTCAGATTACGTACTCCTGCAACAGAAACAAAACAGAAAAGACTGGTGAGGATGGTTGGAAATGCAGCCCTCTTTACAGATGCACTTAATGAAGATGGAAGCTTGCTCTACAGGAGAATGGCATTGTCTGATTGTACCACTAATGATTTGCAGGGAATGCACTCTGAAGAGTCCAGGTTTGGCACCCTGCACTTGGATTTACAGCCACTGGAAATGAAAAGAGTTGGTGTTGTTTTCACACCGGTGGACTATGGGAAAGTTACCTCACTCATACTGATCCGGTAAGTGTGTCCCTGTGGCTGACGCATCTGCCTAAATCAGTCTCAGTCTCCGTCTCTGTCTGTTCAGCTCGTAGCTGACTTCCTGTGCCAGTCAGAGTGCAGTGAGGAGGCTGGGCTGCAGGTTGGGAAGAGGCCTTGGTGTTGGTGACCAGTGGGGCTCCACACGTCACCCCCAGTGCCTCTGTCACCTCCCTCCCCCAGGAGCAGGCCTGGTCTCCAGAAAGGAATGCATTTCACTCAGCATGTTGCCTAGTGCTATCAGAAAAGGGAGAACACACACACAAATGTATTTCTCTTTCCTTAGTATAAAAGAATAATTGAGACACTGCTATAGATATTTCCCTCTATAGTATTTGAACTTAAACCACTCATTCCTGGCAGCCTCAAAGGAAAATGAAAAAAAGTGTTCTCTGAGCTCTTTTTCCTCCTTTTCTTTCCTTTTAAATAACAGCTGTGATCTGGGTATGGTGTTGTACACCTATCATTACAGCAGGAGGCTGAGGCAGGAGGCTTGCTGTGAGTTCAAGGACCACTGAGACTATCTAGCAAGGCCCTGTCTCACCCCCCCGCCCCAAAAGGGTTAGCTTCGGTTGCCTGTGCTGATGGCTTTTTCATTGTGTCTCCTTTCTCTCCAGGAATAACTTGACGGTTATTGATGTGGTTGGTGTGGAGGGATTTGGAGCGAGAGAGCTGCTGAAAGTGGGCGGTCGGCTTCCTGGTGCAGGGGGGTCCCTCCGCTTTAAGGTGCCTGAGTCCACGCTGATGGACTGCCGCCGCCGCCGTGAGTATGCATCGTGGTGCCCTGTGGGAGGCTGGGCCTTACAGCCCGGAGCGGAAGGGCCTCTGGGAAGACTTTTTTACAAGTCAGTAGTAAACTCACTGCACTGACGCAGATAGTTAACCCAGGCGGGCCTGTGAGCACAAGGTGTCCTGGATTAGTAGCTGTAGCTATTTACCTCAAGTTAGATAGCAAATATAAAGGACTGGAAAAGTATGCTAACTGGATAAGCAGCGGAGTGTCAGATATTTAAGATAAATACATGAAGCAGTTCATCTGGGTATCAGTAATGTGATGAAAGAATCACCCCAAAGTGATGAATTGAGAGGAGACGCAGTGTGTGCTAACCAACAGCTTCCCATGATGGCGGAAGTGTTTGGAATCTGTGTCTCTGGTGATGTGGCACCGACTCACGCTCAGTTTCTCCTGCTGTATGCGCAGCACACGGACCGCTTCTGTGATCCGGAAGGTGTGAGGGTTTCTCCGCACCAGCGAGCCTGCGGTGGCTCTGCAGCTGGGTGTGTTCCAGTCCAGTGCAGGTCTGCCGCTGCCTGCTGGAGACAACGCTGAGGCCTCGCAGGCCCAGGTCCCTGCCTCAGAGGCTTCTGACAGGCTACAGGCTGCTGTCCTACAACCCCTCAGCTTTGCTAGGACAGCTCACAGAATTCAGGGAAATGCTCCACTTTCACCCAGTTTTTATAACGGGCATATTTTGCATCTTTTTTCTTTTAATTATTTGTTTGTATCAGCACGTATTTGCAGTACATAATAATTACATTCATTGTGGGGAATTGGTGCGTGTACGTAACACATCTTAGTTCTACAAAGGATATGTCAAAGGTGTAGATAAGCAGTTGGATGAAGGAATACACAGGGTGAGGTCTGGGGGGTTCCTTGGGTGCGGGAGGTTTGTCCCCATTGGGACTTACCACCCTCCTGGCAGATGGACAGTTTCTTGTTGGCCTGCCTGTGAACCGCCACGAGTCACCTGGCCCTCAGCCCTCAGCTTCTTCCACATCCATGACTGAAGCATGGGCACCCATGTCGAGATGTGATGGGATAAAAGGGCTGTGACCTGATGCAGGTGCCTGAGCAGGGAGCCCAGAAACGCCTGTCTGTCCAGCTGCCTCTTGGCCTCTGCAGGCAGCAGTCTCCCTGAGTGGAGATTGTATCCTGTGCCTTTCTGTGTCTGACCTGCCCTCACCTGATCCAGAGTGGGCCATACGTAAGGCCTTCCTCATTCTGGAAGGGCCCTGCCCCTCCAGGGAGATTTTGATGACCTAGGCAGAGCGTTTACGAAAAATTTTGACTGTTTTTCTATTGTATCCTGGCAATACAACAATCTAGCTATGACAGAATCAGAAATTCTGATTCTAGAAATCACATTTGGAACTTAGGTTGAACTTCTTTCACATTTTCGTAGTATAGGTTATGATTTGGTTGATTCAGTAAATACTGATTTCAGTAAGTTATATTGAAAAAATTTTGCAGCTCTTATATACCAAACAATGCCCTCTGTCTTAATTAGAACTGAAAGACAGCAAGCAAATTTTATCTATTACAAAGAACTTTAAAGTTGAGAATATCGGACCTCTTCCTGTAACTGTGTCATCACTGAAAATCAATGGCTATAACTGCCAAGGTTACGGATTTGAAGTGCTGGATTGTCATCAGTTTTCCCTGAACCCAAACACATCCCGAGATATCAGCATTGTGTAAGTACCAGGTTTTACCTTTAGTTTTGTGATGTATTTCACACTGGGGAGGGGCTTTTTCCATTCATAAGGCATCTCAAGTTTGTTTTGAGTATTTGTTTTGTAAAAGTAACAGGTTTTTTTTTGGTACTGGGGATCGAACTCGGGACCTTCCGCTTGTGCAGCTCAGTGGTTCCAAGCTAAATCCCTGAGCTAAATCCCTGGCCCAAAAGTAACAGGTTTTGCTGTGTTATAGTTACTTCATTTCATGACTAAAGCTGAAACCATTAAAAGTTCATAAAGGTGACTCACCTGTTACCAGGTTTACTCCTGACTTTACCTCTTCCTGGGTCATTCGGGAGCTAATGCTGGTGACTGCCGCAGACCTGGAATTCCGCTTCACCCTCAACGTGACCCTTCCTCATCACCTGCTGCCCTTGTGTGCAGATGTGGTGCCCGGGCCCAGCTGGGAGGAGTCGTTTTGGAGGCTCACAGTCTTCTTTGTCAGGTAAATCACCAGCCACCATCTGGACCGTTCCTGCGCTGAGTGTTCAAGCAGAGAGCTGCTCGAAAATACAGATTGCCCGAATAGAGTCAAATCATAAGAATTTTTAAAAATTATGAGTTCAAGCAGGCAGTATATAATGATTATATCATCATCAGGAGGCAGTGTCCTGTGCCTCTCACATCTCCATTCTGTCTCTCACCCCTGCCCTCCACTCCCTCCCTCTTCCTCGGTCTCTTGGTGCCCTTCCCTTTGCAGAAGTCTCTCTCCCTGACATGAGAAGTAGGCAAGGCAGTAACTGGGCAGCTTTAAGGGGATAGTAATCTAATTGTTAGACATTCATAGGCCCTAGGAAGGTTGTGGACACTTGTGTTCTGTGTGTGTTGATTGGCAGTCACAGTGGGAGAGCTCACCTTATTAGCTCAAAGCAATGACAGTTTGAGATTATGATACAAAATGACCCTTTTAAAATGATTTTATCCTGAAAGTATATTTAAAAATTGAATTGTAATGTCAGCCTTACAAGTGTGCGCATTTTTAAAAAGTCAAGATTTCTTGTTATGTTTAAGAAACATCAGAAATTACGTCATACATCTTAATGATATTTTAACACTCTGTCTTCAGCCTTTTCCCATCAGTCATTCACCAGTCTTCTGTAATAAAACCAGTCTTTCACTTTCTTTGTGGACGGTGTGGAGTCTTGCTATGTTGCCCAGGCTGGACTAAGACTTCTGAGTTAAGCATCCTCCTGCCCCAGCTTCAGAGCAGAGCTCCAAGCCTGCACCACCGTGCCCGATTTCAAACTAGTCTCTTAAATGCCTGTCAGAGTCATGCAGTGATGAATGCTGTTGTTTCTTCCCTCCAGTTTGTCCCTGTTAGGTGTGATTTTAATAGCTTTCCAACAAGCACAATACATTCTTATGGAATTCATGAAAACAAGACAGAGGCAAAATGCTAGCTCAGCTTCACAGCAGAACAATGGCCCCATGGATGTGATCAGCTCCCATTCTCACAAGTAAGAATCTGTGTATGTGTTGGGGGGTGGATTCTCTTCTGACACGACTCATTTCTGATTTTATTTAAGGTAATAACACATTCGATTCCAAGTTTTTCATAAAATTTATGTCACTGTGAACAGCTGCACCGTATCTTTTCGTATGACATAGTTCACTTGCATACTCATTGGCAGAAAACTCCCAGGCCTTTAGAAGAAGGGAAGGTAGAACTCCTTACTACACACACTATCAACTGCTGCCTCTTTCTCATGGATGTAGAAACAGAGAAGTACAGTTTGATTTGTTTGTCTTTATGTGAAATGATTTTCTTCTTAAATCCAGAAATAATTGCAAGAACTTTCTTGACACATATGGCCCCTCGGATAAGGGAAGGGGGAAAAGCTGCCTTCCTGTGAGCACGCCGCAGAGCAGGATGCAGAACGCTGCCAAGAGGAGCCCTGGCACCCATGGCCATTCTCAAAAGAAGCATAAGTGTTCTGTCTATTACAGTAAACACAAAGCCAGTGTGTCTGCAGCTAGCAGTGCCAGCACTGCTCCTGAGGAGAAGCAGACTTTGACCTCGGGCAGCTCCCTGTCTGCTGCTAAAGAAGATGTTTGCACCAATGTTATGGGTGAGAACTGGGTTGGCCTCAGATATTCAAGTGGCATGAATATCAGTCTGCAGAAGAGTTTAACACTCCCCAAAAACTTACTGAATAAAGATGAAAACACGCTGAAAAACACAGTTGTTGTCAATAATACTTCTTCAGAATGCAGTCTGAAGGATGGAATACAGACATGTATGTTTCCTAAGGAAACTAACATTAAAACTTCAGAAAACATAGCTGAGCTCAAGGAACAAGAGTTCAGTCCACTGAAGACCTCTAAGAAACTACCTGAAAATCCTTTGCCAAGAAACTCACCTCAGTACCAACAGTCAGACTTGCCAGAAGTTTCCAGGAGGCATAATGGTAATCTTTTCTCCTCCTGTTTGCCACTCCTATGCTCTGGATGGGTTTTTGTTTTCCTCACCTGTGACCTTTACTTTTACTTGCAGATCCTGAGTTCTTTGGCTCACTTGGAGTTATTTAGCAAAGGTATAAATGTTGAAATACGACTTGTCAAATGCAAAGTTTCAAGACAAAGTGCCAAGTTGTTAGAATGTTGTGACTTAGAAGTTTAAATTTTGGTACATAAATTTAGAGGGTTGTGAATATCATGTTCTCGGGAGAAGGATGTGGACACCTTTTTCTAATTATTTGTTCTCAGCTTTTCAGACTACAGTATTTGCAAAAATTAATCAGCCCATGCAGTGTTTATTTAATAGTTGCTGCCATCTCACGTTCCCTGGCCTTGATTCTTCTTTAATAGCATCTCTTGGTTAAAGAAGACAGATGTCCTTATGTGGCAAATACAGTTAATGGAAACACAGTAAACTAGGCTGGGAAGACTACATGCAGAGAAAATCAGAATTATACTTCACCCAATCCCTTTGGCTCCTGACAGAGTCCTGTGCTTTCTCTTCTCCCTTCCCCTTGTTTTCTTCTCTGTGCCTTTTTTTCATACATTAAAGAAATTGTTTTGTAGTCCTAATAATTGAACCCAGTGGCACTCTACCACTGAGCTGCAGCCTCAGTCCTTTCTTTAAATTGTGAGGCAGAATCTCACCTTGTCCAGACTGGCCTCAAACTTGCCAGTCTCCTGTTTAGCCTGTCCTCCCAGCCTCCCAAGTGGCTGGGATCACAGGCATGTACCTCCACACCTGTTGTGACCATCTTAATATGCATATTGCTCTATCTGATAGAAAAGCTCCATTTTCCTTTGATCTTAATTTAAAACATCTAAATATTTAAAAAATTGTGTTAGTTTCATGTTACTTCCACGAAACACTTGAGACAACACAGAAAAGATTTATGTGTTCTGCAAGTTCTAATTCAACATCAGGCCACTCCATTGCTTTGGGTTGTTGGTGGGGTGCCAGATAAAAATGGGAGGGAATGTGTATGGGGAAAACTGCTCATTTCCTGGGGCAGACCCCTTTGAGAGTGCTCCCAATGACCCAAGGACCTGCATGCAGCAAGGCCCATCTCCTAAAGATCCATGCCACCTCCTGATAGTGCCCTCTTGGGGATCAAGCCTTAAGCACCCAGATCTTTTGAGGACACCGTCCAAACCAGAGCAGTAACATGTTTCTCACTCCTTGAATTATGGAGGCAGTACAGAAAGACTTTAGATCAACTAATTCTAATGAACTTTAAGCATTTCATAAAAACCCACATTAGATTTTGAATGTTCCATGTAAGGACATTTCTGACTTAAAGTTGGAGCCCTTTGGGCCGCTGCACATCCATTCTAGCAGCTCCTACTTTCAAGCTATTTGTACCATTTCCCCTGGCAACAGTGTGCACGCGCAGGTGGACTCAGGTCTGCAGGGTTGCACTGTGCCCTGTGTGGAGAGACCTGGAGAGAGTGTCTCCTTGGATAATGCAGTTAACCAGGTCTTTAAACCAAACCCGATGCCTTGTCTGCAGATACTTACGTGGGGTAGTTGGGTGTCTCTTGGTGTGTTCTGGCATGGGCAGACTTTGCACACATGGGCACTGTGTTTTGCAGGCACATTCATCCAGACGTCTGATGGGAACAAGGGGCCCCAAAAGAAGCAGGAAGGGTGTGGAATGGTGATCCCCTCACACAACTATGGTTTCGAATGTGTGCAAAGTCTGCCTATGTCAAAGATAACCCAGGCTTAACTGATTCAAAAAAAAAAGGAAAAAGCCCAACAGGAATCAGTAAAATTTTACTCTTTCATAAACATTTTTTAGTCTGGGCTCTAAAGAGTACAGTCAAGTCAAGATTAGGATCCTTGACTTGTAACTTGAGGTTAGGATCTCAGGAGTAAGTTGTGGCAAGTAAGAGAGTAGCAGAACTAGCCAAGCAGAAAGGCTAGGGAGAAACCCTATTCCCAGCCTGGGGCTAATGCTCTTTGTCCATCTTAAGAGAACAAACCAATTGAGCAAGAGCCAGCCCTTCCTAAGAAAGCCCTCAGTTGCTGTTAAGACTCTAGAGGACCTAGATGGCAGATTGCTTCTGTTCTCCTTGAAGACAGTTGCCTTTGTCCTGGTGTTAAAATGTACCCCAGATAGGTCACTTTTGATTGAGAAATCTGGACCTTTTGTTGGGATACCTTGTATCCCCTTTTTGCTGAGAGATGGAGGATTTCAGTGGTGTTTTGATCAGATAATTCCTTGGTGGAACTACCAAAGAGAAGATCATCTATGTATTGTAGTGGCTTCAAATTTTAGCTCTCTTAAGATCTTGAGCCAAGATCCAGGCAGATGGATGAGGGCTATCTCTAAAACCAAGTATACTGTTATGGAGCCCAGTTTGGGGATCCTCCCATTTAAAGGCAAACAAGTACTGGGAGCTGAGGTCCACAGGGATAGGAAAGTTACCCTTTGGATCAGTTAGTGTCTCTAGGGATCTGTGCAAGGATGTATGGGGGTGAATAGGCACAGGACCTCATTTCTGATTCTGAGATCTTGTAGTAGGCGATATTCTCCTATTGGCTTCACTACTAGTAAAATGGTTGCTTTGCATGGCAGGGTTGGTATCTGCAGCCAAAAATGTATCAGTAATGGACTTTAGCTCCAGCCTAGCCTCTCTTTTGAGGGAGTGTTTTCTTTTGTGAGGATATAGGTTAGGATCCTTGGGTTGAATGATTACCAGGGAGCCATCATACAATGTTTAGGGGACCAACTCCTGGCAAAAGAATTGGTCCTTGATGGGGTGGGATGGCTAGTCGTTGGCAACTGGGACATGAATTGCCCCAGATTTGAGTGACAGAGTGACCCTGAACAGGAGGAGTATGTCTCTTCCAGTTACTGGCATGGGGCATTTTGGTATTATCACGAAGGCAGCTTGGAAAAGGAAATCTCCCAACTGGCAGTTCAGAGTAGAGGGTAAAGAAAGCTGACCAATTAACTTCTTCTAGGCCTCTAACAGCTGAAGAATAGGATAATTTGCCCTGAGGTTAGGATTAAGAGACCTCATTACCCAGAAGGAAAGGAAATTTGCTTACCCACACTATTGGAAATGGTTGGAAAGGAAATATGGGCCCTGTAGCCGCAGTTTAGCTATCTGTAATAAAACCATGGAGTAAAGAGTGCTCAGAAATGAGAAATCCCTGTCTACAAGAACCTTCTCAGTTTTCACTTCCAACTTGGAACATTGCTCGCTCACTTGCTTTTCTTTTCTTTTTGTGGGGAGGGTAATTTACCTGGTGGAAAACATAACATTTCAATCTTAAGAACCTTTCTAGAATCCGAGGAAAACTGCAGCTTTGGTCTTAGGAGTTGAGCTGTGCTCCCCTAATGGATCCTCCATTCATGTCAGGGGTTTCTTGTGTGGTTTAACAGAATTGGAAACTTCCACTCACTGGCTTGAAATCCACTAATGTGTTTGCCACATTTGCCTTTTGTCAGAGTATAGAATGTTCAATAGAAGCAATTCTAGTAATAAGATCGTCTTGGGGGGAGGGTAGAGGGAATTCTTCATCCTCCAAGTTCCTTGCGTGGTTTTCTTGATGCAAGAGAACCCTAAAGAACTCTGCCACCTGTTCTAAGACATCTCTTTTTTCCCTGGGTGTCCCTTACTGTATGAGAAGAAAATGTCCAGGGTCAATATTAATGGCTGTGACTCCCTGCTTGTTCTTGAAAAACAGTAAAAAATCAGTATGTTTCTGAAGAACAGTAAACATACCTTCCTTCCCTGGGCCTTCCCCTGCCTCCTTTTGAGGAGCCTGTGCAGTAAGTTGTTAATTAAGATTACTGGAAGTGACATATTCAGGGCTCTGTTTCCTACACTTGTTTGTTTGGCATCATTCTGTCAACATCTATAAACAGATTTCTAACACATTTGTTACATGTTCTAGAATCTCTTGAGCATTTCTCAAAGATGGCACTTTATGTGTAATGTAAGTGATCTTTTGAAATACATTTTTTTTTTTTTTTGGCGGTACCAGGGATCGAACTCAGGACCTTGTGCTTGCGAGGCAGGCGTGGTGCCACTGAGCTAAATCCCCAGTGCAAAATACAATAATTTTTTTTTTTTTTTTTTTGGTACTGGGGATCGAACTCGGGTCCTTGTGCTTGCACAGCAGATGGCGAAACCGCTGAGCTAAATCCCCGGCCCAAAATACAATAATTTTTAATTGCATGATCCACATAATACAGGTTTAGAATTATAGCTAAAGATGGGCTGTTTTTGGCCCTAGTACTGCCAAAGAGAAATAGTTAGCAAATTACTTCATTACTTTGTTCTTTTTTTTTTTTTTTTTTGCTCATTACTTTGTTCTTACAATAATAAAAAGGATAATCTTTTTAATTTAATAATACTGAAAGCTTTGAAATTAAAAATTCTCACTGAATTAGATATCCGTAAAATATTTTAAATACCTGCATTCGCAGAAATTTTAAAAGATGTTCCCTCTTACTTGGACATACTATTTATTACCTTGGCTTATTCAAAATATATCAGTTGATTAGATTTTAGACAGCAAATAGTACTTTTTGGAGATATGATTGGCATTTAAGAAGCTATGCATTTGTGATGTAATGTCCCAGAAGGTTGTACACCATGCCATGCTATGCCACGGCATGCCACAGCTCTGCTGGAACATGAAGCTCCTGGCAGTGCTAAACCCAGTGTCGGTAAAGAACTAAATAAAAGAAGACAATTTATTTGAAGATGGGGAAGGAGGAAAAGAGAGATGACAGACAGCTACCCAGGATGAGTAGGGAGAATTTGAAAGTGAATTGCTTTGGGACTTCTTGTCTGTAGCTCCTCTTATTGAGATCTTTGTAGGCTCTTGGAATCTGATTGGCTCCCTGGCTTGACTTTCATCCTAACCTTGGATTTCTCCCAGCCAGGCAACCTTTCCCTGTCCTTCGGTGGAGGGTAAGATTATGTATGGGAGATTTATGTACAGACAGTTTGTGATTCTTATGTTAATCATGGTACCTAGGAACTTCCTGGTCTTGAGTTCTTTACCTTTGTCTTCCTAATTGCTTGAGTTTAGCTGCTTTTGTCTTTCTGATTCTTCAGAATCTAGCTGCCTTTGCCCTTCTAATCCCTAGAGGCTGGCTGCAGAGGTCAAAACTTCCTTATTTTTAATAAAGCTCAAATGAGGCCTTTTCCCTATCTTTTCCCTACCTCCAGTGTCCCCTGCCCTTATAGTAATATATTGTCGCGAGCAGGTACCATGGCTAAAGAGGACTCGGACTTGGATGGCAATTCACACACTTACCGTATATTATCCTAATTCATTTCAATACAATTACCACACAATATTAAGTCTGCCAATTACCACGTCGCTGTACCTGTACTGCGCAAGTCCTTAATGGGAGCGCAACGTTTCCTCCCGCGGGGTCAGAGGGTCTGATCCGTAGACGAAGGGCTTCGAGTCGGCACTAGGCTATACGCCTCTCCGCTTGCCTCGTCCTCTGGTCTCGTCTGGTCGGCGGCGATGCTCCTCCCAGCGGGATCAGGTGTGCCGATGTGTTGGTCAGTAGTCAGATCATCAAATTGACTGGTCGACTGGTCAGTGGGATGAATCATCGACTTGCTTGGGGTCTTCAGCTCCTTTTATACTATTCTAGCTGGATGTTCGTGGTAGTGGTTCAGACTTATCACACTGTCCAGCTTGGGGGCACACTCTGCCCAATTCGGGGTATGCCCTGTCCAGTTCGGGGGTACGCCCCGTCCAGTTCAGGCTACACCCTTATCAGTTCCATACCACTTAAGGTTCTACTTTCATATCTTATGGTTACACATCACTCTTATGATTGTATTATACTTAGGTTACAGCACTCTTAAAGTTACAGCACTCTTAAAGTCACAGCACACTTTAGAGTTACAGCACACTTAGGGTTATACAATTCCATCTTATTTCAAAGTGTTCTCCACATGAGCTTACCAAAAAAAGCCATCAACATTGCCACCCAAAGTTTCTTACTGACTCCTTTATTATTTTTGTTTTTCCAATTGTTATTAATTTTTAACTGACATACACTGTGTGAGATCACAAGAATATTACATGTTTAATGGGATGATGTGGATTAGCTACTTTAAAAAATAAAGTATATAGTTATGGTATTTCCATATTCTTCATTATTTTCATGTTAGAGTTTTACAAAGAATCACTGAAAAACTTGTTAGGAGCCTTAATTTAATTACTTATCCTGATTCTTGGCCCCACAGAAGACATACAAAATTTTCTCAGTTTGTGTTTTACTACTTTTTGGGGGTGGTTCGATATTGGGTTAAATTTGGGCCCTTCTTAAGATGCTTTGATCATTTAATCTTTTAGGTGATAAAGAAAACTTAAAATCCATATTCTTACAAATTAGGATGCTAGGAAAGTAATGGCATATTTTTTGAGGAGAATGGTCTGCATTCTGTCTGGTGTTTCAGGGTTCCACAATCCAAGATAGCAGCTGTATTAAAGAGGGACCATTCTGGTCAGGCATTGTATAAGCAACAAGGTTTGTTTATTTAATGCTCAGGCACCCAGCAAGCAGGGTGAGTCTGAAGGGGAGTCAGCCTAGAGCAGGCCAACAACAAAGAGTTTAAAGGGAAAGGGAGGGGTTATGGCCTCAAGGAATTTGGGGGGCAGGTAGCGTGAGATCGCTCTTCTCTGGACAGCAGGTGTCTTGTCTTTGTTCTTCTTTGAAGTTTCCTGTACTTCTCTTGCCGAGGTTTGATGATGCCCAGGCCATGCCCAGTGCTGCACTCCTGCCTTCACAGTTGCCATGGAGATAGGCATTGTCTAATTTCTGAAGCCTTTTTTAGTTACCCTTTTTGATGTGTCTTGCACTATGCCTGACTGGTTGGTATAAACGCAACATTTTGTCTTAGTAAGATGCATGAGCCCCCTTTTTGGCTGTGAAAGGGTCTAAGCCCCTATGATTTTGAGGGGTTACTGCTGCCAGGGAGTCTATCTGGTTCAGTAAGTTAAGAATGGAGTCAGCTATTGTTTGAGGTTGTCAGAAGGATCTCGGGAGAGGGAGGTAATAGGTTCCTATATTGTTGGATCGGGGGTTTAATGGTAACAGGCAGGCTGGGGGGACCAAGGGGGAAATAGAGGAAGGGAGATTTCCCATTGAAAGTAGAGAGAGGTAGTAAGTGTGGCAGTGAGGTTGACAGTGGATGTCTCCAGCTGGGACTCTAGGCCGTAATGGAGTGTGGATGAGTGGCCAAGGCAGACTTCTCTGCAGTTGTCCAGATACCAAGAGGAGACCGTTCTTCCCAGGAGCTGTTCCATGACCAGTGCTGGGTTTAAATGGCATGGAAAGCAGAATGAGGCTCTCTCTGTTTCAGCAGGCAAGGGGTTGATAGGAGGAGGAGGGATCCTAATAGAGGTGAGGTTGAGTGAAGAACTCAAGGGTGGGGGCCTGAGGGTGAAATCAAGTAAGATTAAAGCAGACTAAAGGAAGCAGGTGAAATGGCAGGTAAGCAGGGGCAAGGCATTCACATGTCTTCTGGAATTAGGGTCAGCCTGAGAGAAGTGGGGAAGATTACTTGCAATTTTTATAAGGAGTCAGGTGAGTTATCAGCAAGTCACAGCTTTACCCAGAGTGATATACCCACTGGGGGGAGAGAGCTGTTGTGGGTAGGCTGTCTTCATAAGGCTGAGTGTTAGGAGGAGGCAAGAGAAGATGAGCGGGTCAGATCTCTTTTCAGGCTTATTGCAGACCTGGGAGATGGTCTCCAATGGGACTTGCCTCTAGGCTGATGTTTGCCCAAGCAGAAAAGTGTGGCCATATAAAAGCTCAAATGGACTATATCCTGTGGTTCTCAGGGGGTGGCTCGGAGCAGGGAAATCCAGTCTGTATGCAGCTGGAGTGTGAGCTTAGTGAGGTGGGCCTTGAGCAGGTCTTAGGCTCTCTCTACTTTTTTGGATGATTGAGGCCAGTAAGGGCTGTGGAGGTTTTATTTGACTAATGAAAGTTGGACCATTGTCTGATTGAATGGAAGCAGGAAGGCCAAACTGGGGGATAAAATCAGCTAGGTGGGAGCTGACAACAGCCAAGGCCTTTTCTGAGCCTATGGGAAAGGCCTCTACCCATCCACCGAAGGTATCAACCCAGACCAGGAGATATCTTAGCTTTTGTATTTGTGGTATGTGGGTGAAGTTAATTTGTCATCCCCGAGTTGGAGAAAAATGTCACTCTTGATGTGGAGGAAAAGGAGAGGGTCTCAAAACTCTGAGGTGTGGTTTCACGGCAGAGCATTGAGTGGTGATGGTTTTGAGGAGGGTCTTCTAGGAGGGAAAGTAAGTGAGAGGCTCAAGCAGTCAGATTAAGGGTCTGTATCTTACATGAGAATTGTCAGGTAAGGAGGAAAGAATGGTGTGGGCCTGTGAAATAGGAAGAAGGAACCTTTCTTGGCTTAGGAACCATCTATCTTTGGTACAGAGTCCTTGATATTGTTGGTATTCAGAAAAGGAATAGGCTGAGGTCATGTTGGAAAGGGCCAAATATTGACCCTTGAGAGTTGGGACCTGGGAGATCAAGCAGACATGGTCTGCAGGTGGGGCTCAGATATGTCAGTGGAGAATGATGCCCAGCTATGTGACGGGCAGGGAAGAGATTTGGGCCTTAAAGGGAGAGATATGGGTTATCTCTTGGAATCTAGATGTTGTAATATGATGTTTTGATGAGACAGCCTGTAGAAGTCATCTATATACTGCATGAGATGAGAAAAAGAATGGTAAAGGGAGAACAAATCATGGGCAAGGGCCTGGCTGGAGTAGTGGGGGCTGTCTTGGAACCCCTGCGACAAGATGGTCCCAGTCAGCCGTGAGGACTGATGGATGTCAGGGTCTGTCCAGGTGGAGGAAGAGAGAGGTTGTGAGGAGGGGTGCAGGGGGTAGTGAAAGAGGCACCTTAGTTCTAAGTAACGAGCGGTAGATGCGGTGATGGGTGGGTTTGACGCCACGGGGTAAATGGGAGGACAGTCTGATTGACAGCACAGAGATCCTGTGCCAGTCTGTAAGTGTGGATCTGAAGGGGAGTAGATAGGGATTAAGGGACCATGTTGCAATGAGAAATAATAGACTGTCATCCCCTTAAAGCCAGATCAGAGTTGGGATACTGTCATTGGGCAAGGTAGGAGTGGTTTGGTTTGAGAGGTGTATTAAGTGGATATTGGGATGAAGTCAGGGATGGGGAGGAGGTATCCCCGACTCTGGGGTTAAAGTAAGGGGAGCTGATGAGAGCCATGGAGGGAGGCAGGGAAGGGGAAACCAGGGCAGTTATAAGCACTGGTTGTGTTCTGGAGATGGTCAGAGTGGCTGACAACTTGGTTAAGAGATCTCACACTAAAAGGGAAATGGAACAGGTGGGTACGACTAAGAAGGAGTGTGGGAAAAGGTGTTGGTCCAATTGATACCAGATTGGGGGGATTTTAAAAGGTCTGGAGACTTTGCCATCAATGCCCACAACAGTAGTTGGGGCCCGAAAGACTGGTCCTTGAAAAGAAGGAAGGGTGGAATGAGTGGCCTCAGTATTAAGAAAGGGATGGACTTCCTCTACCCTAAGTTACCTGGAGGTCAGCATCCAAGATGGTCTGGGGACCTCTGTGGCCTCTGGACAGCATCAGTCTTTGGTGGCCAGGCCAAGAAAGTCTAGAGGGAGCTGCTTGGAGATCTCTGAAATTGTAGTCCAGAAGTGGCAAGGGTGGCTGCTGGTGTTGGACAATCAGACTTCCAGTGAGGGGCCCCTGCAAGAAGGACGCAGCTCGGAGGGAATCCTGGGCTGTGGGCATTCCCTAGCCCTATGACTATTCTGGCAGCATTTGAAGCGAAGCTTTGGAGGGGCACCTCAAGTTGGGCACCCTTGATCTCTTTGTGGTCAGCCTAGTGGTTGACTTTGGGGGGCTTCTTACACCAGAATCCAGCATCTGCAGCTCAGAAATGTGCTGCTTTTGAGCTCGTTTATCTGTTATTAACAATCTTAAAGGCCAGGCTGAGTGGTGCCTGCTGTGAAGTTTGAGGGCCAGTCTGCAGTTTTTGTAGTTGTTTTGAATGTCTGGAGATCCTGTTTGATAGTTTTAGTTTGAATCCTCCCAGGGATCAGTCCTAGGGCCCTCTGGAAGGTTGGGCTGAAGGTGCCTGCATCCGTCCCCGTAGGACTGGGTCAGGAAATATATTCACTCTAGTTAATCTGGGGGGAGAGGGAAGTACGGATGACAGTTAAATCGGTCTAGGTGAGGCTATATGACTCGGTCAGGTGTCTGGGGCATGGCTGGATGTCCCTGTTGGACCTGGGGACTCTCTGGGGTGGGACTCTGTCTGTTGGAAGAGAGGGACCCTCTGGAGAGGGGTCCTTTTCCAGGATGTACAGCCCAGTTGGCCAAGCACTGGGGCTCTGAGAGCACACAGAAGTCCCAGGACATGCAGGGGTTTTAGAGCTGTGCTGGAGTCCAGGGACACATGGGATTGCTAGGGCAGCACTGAGATCCTGGGATGTGTGTGGTCTTGGGTTATGCTGGCCACTGGGGCTGTGCAAGGGTCCTGGGGGGGTGTGGTACCCTAGCGGCTGTGCAGTGGGATGAGCATGGTGGAGGTCGCAGTGGCACAGGGGGCGGGTCTGAGTCACCTGGTTTCCCCTGAGCCTGGCTCAGAGAGGTGGTGAGCAGGCTCTGTTTGGCTATCATGGTCCTTTGCAGCCCTGAGGGAGGGAAAGAGGACAGGAGAGCAGCACGGAGCAGGGCTGGGCTGGGGTCTGGAGGCGAGGACCTGGTGGGAGATTGGGCCCACACTGT